TAAATATACACAACAACAACGATCTCAAATACACACTACAATGTACAACAACGACCTCAAATATACACTACAACAATGATCTCAAATACACACTACAACAACGATCTCAAATATACACAGCAACAATGATCTCAAATATACCCTACAACAATGATCTCAAATACACACTACGACATGGATCTCAAATATACACTACAATAATGATCTCAGATATACATTACAACAATGATCTCAAATATATACTACAACAATCTCAGATATACCCTACAACAACGATCTCAAATACACACTACAACAATGATCTCAGATATACCCTACAACAATGATCTCAAGTATATACTACAACAATGATCTCAAATATACACTACAGCAATGATCTCAAATACATGTATACACTACCACAATGATCTCAAATATAAACTACAACACTGATCTCAAATATACAACAGCAATGATCTCAAATACACACAGCAACAATAATCTCAAATAAACACTACAATAATGATCTCAGATATACATTACAACAATGATCTCAAATATATACTACAACAATCTCAAATATACACAGCAACAATGATCTCAAATATACCCTACAACAATGATCTCAAATACCCACTACAACAACGATCTCAAATACACACTACAACAACGATCTCAAATATACCCTACAACAATGATCTCAAATTAACACTACAACAACGATCACAAATACACACTACAACAACGATCTCAAATATACACAACAACAACGATCTCAAATATACACTACAACAATTATCTCGAATACACACTACAACAACGATCTCAAATACACACTACAACAACGATCTCAAATACACACTACAACAATTATCTCAAATATACACAACAACAACGATCTCAAATATACACTACAACAATTATCTCAAATACACACTACAACAACGATCTCAAATACACACTACAATGTACAACAACGACCTCAAATATACACTTCAACAATGATCTCAAATACACACTACAACAACGATCTCAAATATACACAACAACAACGATCTCAAATATACACTACAACAACGATCTCAAATACACACTACAACAACGATCTCAAATACACACTACAACAACGATCTCAAATATACACAACAACAACGATCTCAAATATACACTACAACAATTATCTCAAATACACACTACAACAACGATCTCAAATATACACTACAACAATTATCTCAAATACACACTACAACAACGATCTCAAATATACACTACAACAATTATCTCAAATACACACTACAACAACGATCTCAAATATACACTACAACAATTATCTCAAATACACACTACAACAACGATCTCAAATATACACTACAACAATTATCTCAAATACACACTACAACAACGATCTCAAATATACACTACAACAATTATCTCAAATACACACTACAACAACGATCTCAAATACACACTACAAAAACGATCTCAAATTAACACAACAACAATGCTCTTAAATATACACAACAACAACGATCTCAAATACACATTACAACAATGATCTCAAATACACACAACAATGTACAACAACGATTTCAAATATACACAACAACGACCTCAAATATACACTACAACAACGATCTTAAATATACACAGCAACGATGATCTCAAATATACCCTACAACAATGATCTCAAATACACACTACAACAATGATCTCAGATATACATTGCAACAATGATCTCAAATATACACTACAACAATGATCTCAAGTATACACTACAACAATGATCTCAAATATACACTACAGCAATGATCTCAAATATACACAACAACAATGATCTCAAATAAACACAACAGCAATGATCTCAAATACACACAACAACAATGATCTTAAATATACACAACAACAATGATCTCAAATATACACTACGACAAGGATTTCAAACATACACTACAACAATGATGTCAAATAAACACTAAAACAATGATCTCAAATATACAATACAAAAAGGATCTCAAAACCACACAACAACAATGATTTTAAATATACACAACAACAATGGTCTGAAATATACACTACAGCAATTATCTCAAATACACACAACATGGACTCAAACATACACAACAATGATCTTAAATACACACAACAATGATCTCAAATACACACAATAAGGATCTCATATATACAACAGAAATGATCTTAAATATACAATACAACAATGATCTTCAATATAAACAGCAACAATGATCTCAAATAAACACTAAAACAATGATCTCAAATACACACTACAACAAGGATCTCAAATATCTACAAAGTGGATTTGAGACATCACATCGTGGATCTAAGCAATATATACACTTACAGCACCAATACGTATTTCTACTTCATCATAGATATCACATATGGATTTTAAATACATCAGAGCATGGATTTTATGATAAAATCTACAATTAAAACAATGAAACTCTAATTGGAATCAATGCCCTGGCACCCATGATATATCTTCCTGGTCTCATTGGTGACGTCATACCATTACGGAATAAGTAATTGATGACATCGATGCCGATGGCTCCAAACACATGAACCTACAAATGTACCTGATATTGAGTTAGAAACTATATGAGAACTAGGTTTATCTTGTAACACTTCAGTAGCGCTTTGTGTTCAACGTCTACCATTGATCGTATACCATTGATAATAAATTGTAACCAAACCGTACATGTTTAAGTCGCATGCTGCTGTATAACAAATTAAACGCGTGGAAATCAACCTGGCGTTAAAACAATATAAGGCTGTCATCGAGAAACACCTTTAGTTGAAAAGTGATACAGCGGGAGTGTGTAAAATTGATATCGCGGCCCAATGTTTATCGTCACATGTAACTGTTATAGAACAAAAACTATCTGAAACTTTGAAAGCGAAAAGGGTAATGAAACAGCACTGTCGTTAACAAACGCTTTTATATTGGAATGCGCGTTTATGAGTCTCACTGCGTACATGGAGAAGATGTTTTTTCTCCTACTTCCGACGTTTTTGTTCCGACGTTCAGTAGAAATGTTTGATGGAGCCAAAATAATTGTCTTTTTGGAAAGCCACAAACAACATTACCGGTGACAGTATTACACGCTAGTAAACAAACGCCCACACGCAAAAGGCCGTGTTTTAGTGTGTCTTTGGAAAAATGAAAATCCTCGACTGTTTTCTTTTAGAGGCATGGATCGCTCGACCGCCCCAGAGTTGAAGGATGGATGGTATCCCTGACCTAATAAGTATAAAACAAGATAACAAATTTCATGGCGAGTGCGATTTATTAGTAAATATGAATAAAGTTACTCACCTTCGGATTTAACGAACCTCATGAAGGACAAGAAAACGTATTTATGTAAAAAAAAATACGATGGTCGACAGCAGCCGATACAAAACGACTACAATATAAGACATTTATGTACACGTACACTTTTTAAAAACTGTAAAATGTACACATAACAACTACAAGTGCTATTAACATTCCTTAACGGTTCGGGTCAACTTGATATTTCACACGTGCCTGATGCGGCGGTGAATGTAAAGACCAAACGACAAAGAAAGGGAATATGTTCATAAATCAGCGAAAAGGCGATAGAGGTCACCACACAGTGTTGCTACGTAGACTGTATACAATATTTCACTAGTTGATGCTTGAAGGCGACTTAATCTCATTACCTGAAAATGGATATACTAGAAAGGTCTGACACTAGTAATTATCAGGTGTTGAATTTTCTTAATCTTTTCTTTGTATGTTGATTGGTCCTATGTCCTGTTTTTAATTGGAAAGAAATGTAACAAACATAAAGATGTTATTAGAGGGTTAGAGTCATGGAGTAGAACAACGTTGCATTGAAGTGTGAATAGTTGAATAAAGTCAAATGTAATATAATACATATGTACTTATTATAACAAAAGTTGTATGTAGGTTGTTCTGAGAGAAATAACCAGTGTTTTATACCAAAAAGGCAATAGCCTTCAAACTTATGAATATGTCACATGGGACACTTCATATTACATATTTTTGGTTATTGAGTTAAAAGTATAATCATACATGTTGTATTGTTGTTTTGTCTCCAACTATTTCTCAAAAAATCACATAAAAATGATATGATATCTGGTATACTTCTGATTTGTCTACTTGTGGATTTCTAGTGGAATATCTACATACATCTGGGTACGCCTGACCTATGATGAAATGTCTGTAACATCAGCTTTCATGGAGAAACACAAAAATATATACCGGAAAAGTAGTCGGTAGCAATATTAGGCTAACATGGATCCATTCCATATCAAGGTTTTAATTCAATTTAGATCCATTATATATAGTAAACGAGGGCGCGGTTGCCCTTGCTGAAGCCTACTTTTCGTACAACGACATCTCCTGGTTTCTTACATGCTTAAAATCTCAAAGTGTTGTCCAGGGTGACCATCTAGTATTGTTTGACTGCTGGGGTGTCTGGTTATTTCCTTGTCGTTTATTAACCGCCGTGTAAAATATCAAGTTGACCCGAACCGTTAAGGAATGTGTATAGCACTTGTAGTTGTTTTGTGTACATGTACAGTTTTTAAAAAGTGTACATGTACATAAATGTATTATATTGTAGTTGTATTGTGTACATGTACAGTTTTTAAAAATTGTACATGTACATAAATGTCTTGTATTGCAGTTGTTTTGTGTTCATGTACAGTTTTTAAAAAGTGAACATGTACATAAATGTCTTGTATTGCAGTTGTTTTGTGTACATGTACAGTTTTTAAAAATTGTATATGTACATAAATGTCTTGTATTGTAGTTGTTTTGTGTCCGCTGCTATCGGCCATCGTACAAAAATAATTGTCCTGCCACAAAATATTTCCAGATTGACTCTAAATATTTCTAGACTTGCCATAATACGTCACTGTTAATCCCTAAGGCAGTATCACTGACCTTACACGGATGTATAATGTCACAGAGTGTCGTACCCCGGGCACCTGTTCTCGTCCGGGTAGCTGGTATGTCTACATGTACACTGGACATAGGCACAAACTACCTGGGACTCTTACCGAAATTTATCAAAATACCAGACTCTTTCTACAAAACAGGGAAGAATATAGAACTGACCATTGTTCGTGATAAAAAGACCTCGGTCCGGTCATTATCTACAAATACGTGTTCATGTGATGATCTAACAACCTCGCACCAAGTCAATTGTAACTGACAGGGAAGGTGAGACATTGGAAAGACCTTGCGGTTTTACCTAAATGTTGTCAACAATCACTACCGAAGCCTCGGATTAAGGTAATTTACATTTTCCTTCAATTCCAATCAAATGGATCTACGTTTTGAATTCACAGCAAATTAAAATAAGACTATCCCGAATAAGTGAAGAGAAGAGACAGTGGACGAGTACCCGGAAACAGTAAAGTGTATAAGGGCAGTTGACGAGTATCCCCGATACGGTGGGAGAGTTCCGGGAGTAGCGACCAATACAGTGTGTCTGTGAAGCCTAGTTACTTTACCTAGCAAATGGTAACCATATTCAAAAAAGTCATTATTAAGAATACGATTCAACATTAAAAGAAGACAAATCGTCATAAGACCAGTTACCGCCAATAGGGAAACCTATACTTGATGAATCACTGTTAATGCCTATTTGTCGGACATTTTGTGGTGAGCCCGAGCACGAGCTACGGCAATGCTAACTCTTGTGTTTGTGTGTTGTGTTGTATTTGTGACCGGGCGGGGTGTTACCTCTCCTCAAACAGAATGTCTGCCGGAGTTCGGATGCTTTATTTCAGACGGAATCGTTCCTGTTCCCCAGCAACCGGCCGTCGTCGACACGCACCTGAAGCTGTTCACGCGCTCGAGCCCGCATAGCCCGAGGACGAGTTTTGCAGTCGACCAATTCGACAGCCATATCAACAAATTTGCCTCGCTATTGGATACCACAAAAGACACCAAAGTCATCGTACACGGGTACATTGGTTCAGGATCTATGCCCTGGGTGGTTCAGATAACGAGTGAACTCCTGCTGAAGGGAGACTTCAATGTGATTGTTGTGGACTGGCAAACCGGAAGTCAACAGGAGTACAACCTCGCTGTGGGTAACTCGTATCTGGTAGGGGCAGAAGTAGCCAAGGTACTGACGTATCTTCACGACAATCGCACGCTCGACTACGTTAGAGTACACATCATTGGTCACAGCCTCGGGGGCCAGATCGCCGGGCATATTGGTTACCGGATCAAGGGGATCGGTCGTATTTCTGGACTGGACCCTGCCGAGCCGGACTTCCGGGACAAAGACACTAGCCGGAGACTTGACCAGTCTGATGCGACCTTCGTGGACATTATCCACACAGATGGGTCAAAGTTTAAACTTTTGTCGGGTTACGGCTTTCTGGCTCCGATGGGTCACGTGGATTTCTATCCTAACGGGGGTCAGCATCAGCCCGGATGTGACGAGAAACCTATCATCAGTGCAATAGACAGCATCCTGCACGGGTCAATAGGAGGCGCCACTAGATCCGTAACCTGTAGTCATAATCGAGCTGTTGATCTGTATATTGAGTCGATCAACTCAGCCTGCAGATTTTACGGTCACACGTGCTCATCCGCGTCTAAGTTTGACGACGGCTCGTGCATGGGCTGTTCCGTGGGTGGCTGTCCAGTGATGGGATACGACTCGAACCAAACTTCTCAGCGGGGCTCCTTCTATCTGAGTACGGCCGGGTCTGCGCCCTTCTGTGCACGTGAGTACTATGTCGAAATACACGTGTCCCATCTGGCAAGTACTTCATATGGAGAGTTGTTGGTGACTCTAACGGGTATGAACGGAGGATCCGAAGAAATTAAATTTTCTCCACGTAACGAGTATTTCCGGCGTGACCAGGTAGAAAAACACGTCATAGGTACCAATACCGATATAGGTCATGTAAAGTCACTGCGCGTGAAGTATGTCGAGCCCAGCCACAACCATCATACGTCACACACGGCGCATGAAATTAGACTACACAGTGTTATAATGGGATCTACAGAAAGATCGAACGACAGAGTTAAGTTTTGCGGACATGAGAACGGAATCCACCCTGATGGGAGCCTTACCCTCTCCTCGTCATTGAACTGTTAGGACCCTCAGTCTGCCCTAATTCTGGGATTGTTAGGACGGAATCTACCCTGATGTGAATCTTACCCTGTCCTCGTCATGGGACTGTAAAAACCCTAAGTCTGCCCTCATTCTGGGACTGTTAGGACGGAATCCACCCTGATGGGGCCTTCACTTTATCCTCGCTTTGAGAATGTAAGGACCCGTAGTCTGTCCTCATTCTGGAACTGTTCGGACGTGCTTCACGTTGATTGGCCCTCCTTCTGACTTTGCTCTGGAACTAGGAGGACGGACCGCGTCTTCATGAACCCAACGCCGAGGATGTTGAGGAGAAGCCCATTACGGATTTCTAAACATGATAAAGTTGTTATATTTTCTAGGATTAAAAAAGTTTTACATTTGAATGTGCGTTTTAGTCTCGTTCACTCATCGGTGAAATGGACAATTATCTCTCCATTTCCGACATCATGTAGAAATGTTCGATGGTAACACATATAATTGTCTTCTCAAAAAGCCACAAAACGCATCGACGGCGACAGTAGGGCATCATTGTAAAACATGCGTACACTCACAAACGTCGCGATTTAATGTATTTTTTCTCTGAAAATTGAAATCCTCAACTGTTTTGTAGCCGTTATATTTGGCGCCCTGTGCAAGATCAAACGCAGTGCTCTGGATTGCTCCGAGTGTATCGTGGTTTTATATTACATTAGTCAAAACATAGTCTGGGCAGCCAGCACGACAATGCCTCACAGACTTGTCTATAGAGTAAAAAACAGCAAACAAACACGTAAGGTTGTGTATTAATATTGTAATACGAGGCTAACCATGCCACCATCCCGGGATCATCAATGCCAGACGGTTTTAACCATTAGGACAACTAATGTCACGAGCTTTTATCGTGACAAGTCTTAATCTGTCACAATCCGCGCCAACACAACCAGAACATGGTTGTTGCACACTTCGTAATGCTCTCTCCTTATAATTGCTTTTGACGAGTCGTTTTTAATTTTCTTTAAAACGTCGACATAATTAACATCTTGGATAATATTCCGTTACAGAATTTAATGTCTTCTATTCTAAGTAGTATTCTGAAGTGATCTGTTAAACGTTCTCCTGCTCGGGACGAAAACATGGCCTCTTCTTTAACGTAATGGGTTTATAACGGTATTGCTTTTATATTTTAGATTCATTTCGACGTGCAACTCTAGAATACCAACTTGAACTTGCACGGAGCAACACATACCGCTTTATCACAACCTAGTTCGTAGGTCGTCTCAAAGCGGTTCACAAAGTATGACATGTCGACAGGATAATCTGTCTACAAAGAACATGATTACACAATATCACATACATACTGAGACGACATGTTTATCAAAAACATCTATCCACAAGAGCCATGAGTGCTGTCTATAAGGGTCATCTGTTCACAAATACTGAATATGTAAAAACAAGACCACCTGCTACAAAAAACATGTCCACGAAGACTACATGTCTAAGGTACCACATTTCTATATATACATATATCAAACACCTGTCTATACAGACCATCTACACGTCCTTAAATGACCTCAGATGTTAATTGTACGTTAAAAAAATTAAAACCATAACCAAACGAGCCTCCTGTCTATAAATCCCATTTTTCTATAAAGAATACCCATCTACAAGATCACACTATCTACAAAGATCAACATTTTATAAACAGAACTGACCACAAAGACCACCTTTCTACAAAGATCAACCTTTTACAAACAAAACTGACCACAAAGACCACCTTTCTACAAAGATCAACCTTTTACAAACAGAACTGACCACAAAGACCATCTACCTATAAAAGTCACCTTTCTACAAAGATCAACCATTTACAAACTGAATTAACTACAAAGACCACCTGTCTACAAATACACCTGTCTATAACGATTACCTGTCCCGTGGTGGTGGCCTTTATAGACATATTTGATTCAACATATTCCTTATTGCTCAGGACCTTATTAATAATAATAATAATAACATACAACATTTATATAGCGCCCTATATGATTTGCTAAATTACTCTAAAGCGCTTTACAACATATGGATAATAATAATGGTTATAATTGTGAAAACAAAGGCTTACAATCACTTTTATACATTTAAGCAAGCAATGTGCACATAATTGGCCAAATAAAAAGGTGGTGTTTACATGACGTCTTTGCGAGGATTTTAAAATGCAGACATGAAGAGGTGAGTTTTGATGTCCCTCTTGAACTTGGCCAGGGTATTTGACTTTCTAATAGCAGATGGTAAGCTATTCCACAACGTAGCCGAAACCCTCCCAAAGCATCTGTTTCCGTAGGTCACAGTACGAGATTTTGGGATACACAACAAAGATTCTGACTCCGACCGCAGTGATTGTGACGGCTGATACAGGGTAACACGCTCATGTAGGTACTGAGGAGCTGCTCCATTCAGTGCCTTGTATGTGTACACCAGAAGTTTGTACTGCGACCTGTATCGTACAGGTAACCAGTGCAACGAATAAAACACAGTTGTGATGTGCTGTCTCTTTCAAGTACGAGTAACTAGCCGTGCTGCAGTGTTCTGGACCCTCTACAAAGAGAGGGTAAAGTTGACACAACATAATGGCATTGTAAACATGTTTTATAATACAAGTTACTTACATATGTATTATGAGCTTTATAGACAGGATTGAACATGTTGCCAATTGCGGTGTTTCTATAAACAGGTTTTGTGATACATAGAGAATAATACATTTCTTTTCCATATCACACCCAGTATCAACTCGAGACTCCAATATCAGCCCGAGGGCCGAATGCCTGAGGGCTGATATTGGTCGAGGGTTGATACTTGATGTGATATGGGAAAAAAAACATGTTTTATTCTGTTTATTACATACTTAGTAATAAAATACGGAATGATCTACTATCGTATGATTTTTTTTTCTTTAAAAAAATGAAAAACGAAAAGTTCCCTAAAGGGGTGTGAGGCTGATACGGGTTTTGGGGTGTGATACGGCGAGGGCTGATATGTGTTAGAGTAATTGTGTCGTATCGCATATACAAAAACAACGTATTTATTAGTAAGTATGTAATAAATCTAAATAACTGGGGTGTTCTTTGTAGATACGTCTAACTTTACATGTTACTTTGTACGATGGTCTATATACAGAAGTTTGATTTACACGTATCGTATAGTTAACAAGTTTTACTGCACATGTTACTCACTGTGGTTGTCTTTAGATACATATCTCATTGTTCTCGTACTTATTTTGGAGGCCTTTATAGACTCTGTGGTGATCTTCATGCATACGTCTGATTGTCCACTTACCTAGGCCTTTATAGACAGGGTTGTCTGTAAATGTTACTAATTCGTAAAACAATTAATGAAATACAGAGCATGTCGGTGGTCCGAACAGATACAATATGTACATGTATCTTCGATCTCTTGACACACTTGAACCACTTCATTATAATTTATTTATTTAATTCTAATATATTTATGATAAACAAGCAAAGAATTTTCTAACCCACAACAACGACAAAGTGATCCAATATGTAAATGAAAGCGTCCCGAAAAGTGAATCCAACATTTGGGATAATCGAAACTCGTACACAAAAGGTTACGTGGTACACTTCTGTTACTCAGCAGTTTGATGTGGTTTGTCACCGGATTACAATACTTTTGGCCTTCAAAGTCAAAAGACATACTCTATGTCTGTGTCCCAACAGCATCGTCTGTAGTCAGACATTTATACACTAACTAATCCTCGTCATGTTAATCCGAATCATGGCGTTTATCATGATACAACTAAAATCAAAGTGGGGTCTGACCTTAAAATCTTTTAACATCCGTACAGCCGCTGAAGCACGATCTATCGCATGCACTCATTCAGAAAATCTCCGCTTATGTCTTTTTAAGTCAAAGATTTCAGAGGTTATCTCTTTAACTGATCTTTAATTATTCTTTATCAAAGGAAGCATGTTTTCTTTCATTATAAGCTGGTCTGAATACTTTATATGCTGATGCTATGATAAATACCACCAATCCTATGGTCACGAGATTGATGAAAAGGAGCACAACCACCACAGGCCGTGCGGAGGATGCTAAACTCCCGAAATATTCCGAAGCTTGCACTGATACCGCTATCCGTTCCAGCACGAACCGCGGGCACTTGGTGCTGTTTCCTTTAACCGTGAAATTTTACATTGTCGTAACTGCATTCTGTCTGGAGACGCGCCCATCCAATTTACACACAGGTCCATATATGGTCGTGCACGGTTCGTGACTAAGATACATGCATTACAGACACATGTAATTACATGTGGACGGGTAATGCCGGATTTCTCGCTACATACATCTCCCGGGAAATAATCTAATACGTAGACGTAAATGTAGTCGGAATGATGGATTACTGAATATACACACGGTAACTCATTTTTCAAAATCATTTCCCAATTACTTATACGAGTTCATGTTTGAATATACATAAACATGAAAAATGAGGTTTTATGCTGCATGTAGTTACCCGGATAACACGTTATACAGGTAGTCCTGGGAATATCTCAAATATGCCATTACTTATTAATGGAGAAGAAATCACCACTCGTCCATGACAGTTCATCGGTTTTTGTCCCACCCTTCACAGGTGTGTCTCCCGTTTTAGCCGGGAAAGATCAGCTTGTCACTTCATAGGGGGAGATAGCCTCGTGCCGATTAGCACGTGTTCGAGTGTGACGTCATTAAAATGCGTCATCGGTAATTGTGACGTCATCAAAAGTGAATAACGATATGCATACCCCACATGTGTTTTTGTTTACAAACATGGCAGAGTATTGTCGGTGTGGAGCTGTGACTGAAATAATAGGATGGGAGAAAAATAACCATCCCCTACCTTGAGGGTGTAACAGAGAAATCTCCAACCCTTGGGTTGATTTTTTTGGTTGTCTAACCCTCGGCAGAGCCTCGGGTTAGACAACCAAAAAACATCACCCCTCGGGTTAGATATTTCTCTGTCACACCCTCAAGGTAGGGGAAGATTCTATTAATCATCGTGGAGCTCTTTGGTAAATAACATTTGCGTCACAGGCAGCATGTACCCTTAAAAGGAATTTACTATAGTAATGGATATTACAAATCTGGAGTTGCATGTGTTTTGACATTGAACTAACTTACAAGACAAATATTGGGAATAAGAAAAACAACAAAATGTAAACGCTTTGATGTTAGTCAATGCCAATGTGATTTGTTCAGAATTCCAGACCTACATCCAGGCATAGGCACTTGACGCTTTGTTATGTCAGGGTTTTTTTTGTTTTTTTTTATATAAGTATACTTTTTTTTCAAAATTATTATCTGAGAATTATCTGAATAAAAAAAAGAAATGAC